GCCTGGCACTGCTGAGGTCAAGGTCTTGACTCCATTTTACAGATAAAGAACCAAGTCTCAGAGCAGGTAACTTGCTCAAGGTCACACAGCTGTTAAGTGGTGGAGCCTGGATTTGAACCCAAGCAGTCCACGCTCTTTACCACCACACTCTAGATGTCTGCTTTTACTTTTTGTGTTTTTTTGAGAGAAGCCAGAAATTCTGATTTTCATGTGAAATCTCCAGGTTTTTTGAATATTGCCAATGAAGTCACAAAGCGGCTGTTTAATACAGTGTGGGTTCCAAACCAAACACAGCTGAGGGCCGTCAGTTTGAGACCCTTCCTTTACCCCAGAAGAAACAGGCAGATAACTTGGAAAGAACTTTTACTAGAGCAGTCAGTCCAGAGAAAGAAGTGGCCCAGCCGTGCAGCCACACAGCATCCTGAGAGGCTCAGTAGGTCCGAAAGGAGCCACAAATTGGGGGGGGAGTGTGGGGGGGGAATGGGCGGAGGCTGGGCTGGATGGATTCAGGCTGTGGGCGGGGCTGCCTGTGACCCCGCCCATCGCCCCACCCTCCAGGTGTTGAGACTGCTCATCATCGCCTGGGATCGAAGGCTCATCTTCACCATCGGCACATCCAACACCACCGGCGAGTCGGACACGGTGGTGTGGAATGAGATCCACCACAAGACCGAGTTCGGATCCAACCTCACGGGCCACGGCTACCCGGACGCTAGCTATCTAGACAACGTGCTGGCCGAGCTCACAGCCCAGGGCGTGTCGGAGGCCGCGGCCAAGGCCTGAGGCCAAGGCTGCCCACCTTTCCTCCTGCTTTGCCCCTGATCCGGCACATGCCTCCCTCCACCAGGTGTGTCCTGGTGGCCCAGGTTCCGGGCTGGGGAGGAGCCTGCAGAAGGAGCCAGAAGCATTCTGGGGATTTGGCTGGTGGTCGTTGGGAATGATGGGAAGGCGGCAGGCCAGCCGGCTCCAACTCATAGCTCCCTGAGAGGATCACAGAGAGTACCGGAAACCACAGCGACCTCCCTACCAAAAAGACAGCCCCGTCCTCCACGCAAACACACGTGTCCTGTTGAACACATGCACGCACACCCACGTGCCTCTACTTACTCCCAACCTGGTGGGGAAGAGACAGAAGACGCCTGTGACATTCCATGTGGACCCCATCTGTGTGTCTGTTGCACCTGTACAGGCTTGTCTGCCAGCAGGAAGATTCAGGTCAAGCATTAGGGGCCTGCTGGGGCTCCTGGGGGGAAAGGGGCACTTGGGAAGCTCAGCCCACCCCCATCTCTGTCACCCACCTCTGCCACACACCGATGGGCAATTGGAAGCCCCAGATTATCGAGCGGTTTTGCAAAGGAGCAGGCCAGCGAGAGAGGGACTAGAGGTGTCTTATTTTGTGCTTGTGTCTCTTCATCCTTCTCCCCTCCCATTCCTAGGCCTTATGTCTGTCCTAGGTAAAGGCACTGTTCACCTTTCCTCCCCACCCCATCCTCTCCACCAAATCACTCCCAACGTCAAGATCCAAAGGCTGGGAGCTTCTGGCTTCAGGAGCGAGACGAGGAGGCCTAGCTTAGGCCAGCAGGTTTAAAAAGCAGGCCGGAAAGCAATGAGTCCATTTCCCTTACTCTTGGGAGTGGGCAACGGGGTGGCTGATGGTCTTGGCCAACCAGGGGCCTGTTGCCCAGGCAACTCACCAGCTCCGCCTCTGTTGATTGGCTGCCACGATGGAAGACAGCCAAGATTTAAAGGGACGCCAGCGATTGCTCTTTTGAAAACCTACCAGTCCCACTGTGGGTGGAGAAATAAACGGTCTTTCTCCTACTTCTCCTCGCCCGGTCTTTTCCTGCCAAGGTGGAGGGGGGAGCGGGTGGCTTTGTTCCTGGGGGCCTGGGGTCTGCCACATCAAGGAGCATATAACAAAATGACAACATCAGGAGCATTGCCCCCTCTCAGCCTTGGGCAGCTGGAGAGCCAGGGTCCCCATAATTCTCTCATCCTGGGGCAGGCAAGGGGTTTGATGGTGGTAGAAGCAGACCCTTCCAGTCCCAGCCCCCAAGAGTGCAGAGGTGAAAATTCCATTCTCAGGTATGGGCACCAGGCAATGCACACAGTGCTCTCTGGTATAAATACTAGTAACGAGGAACTCAGGCTGGGAGATGAGAGTCTCTGGGAAAATATGGGAGAAAGCTGGGAGATACCGCGATGGGCTCCCTCAGGACCTCAGAGCCCCAGCCTCTGCCCTCGGGGAGGAGGGCCAGAATGTCTAGGGAAACACAGGGACAGATCCCAGTATCTGCAACAAGCGTCTTAACAGCCTTGGCAACATCCTTGGGATGCCCAGGTGGCTGTGGTCGATGCTGCGGCGCCAGGCGACCCCTGCTGGCCACCCACGGGATAGCGCCACATCCTGGTCCACCTTCTCCCCAGCCAGGCAGGTTGTTTCTGTCTCAACCTCTAGTCACACAAAATCGGAAACGAGTCTTTGGAGGCCCTTCCGGTTCTGCCAGTTGGGCGTTCCCAAACATTTTTATCTTCTGTGATTCATTCTCCAACAAAATCTCACCTCAAGCCCTAATAGCAAACCCTAATACGTATAAAGTCACCCAGCCCCGTGATCCTCAAATCTCAGGTTCATCCACATCACCTGGAGCAGCTTGTTAAGAGTCCTGACTTCTGCCCCCACACTCCATCAGATTCTGATCTGGGTGGAGCCCAGGGATCTGCATTTCTAGCAGACGCCCCAGAGGGGTGAGCTTTGGGCCAGTCTGAGAAGCTCTTCCCTAACTCCCGAGCTACCTCTACAGAACCTCTACCAGTTTGAAAACCACACATCTAACGTCACTCCCTCCTCATTTTATACGGTTCAAATAGGGGTGAGGCGCTTGGCTCAAGGCCTCCCAGGCTCCAAGCGTCTGAGTCTTGCACATTGGGCTCCCACCCTTAGTTCTTCCCGAGGGCACCTGCTTCTAGAAGCTGATGGTTAGGACCCTCAGCCAAGGGCAGAGTTCAGGAAGATGCGTGAGGTTACAGGGGTTGGCAGACATGAGAACGGGAAGGGCTGAGCCAGNTCTGATCCCTTCCTCCAGTTTGTTCTTGGGACTTAGGACCTCACTTTCATCTCCTGACCCCTGACCCCGTCCTAAGCCCTTAGAGCTAGACTGCTTATCCTCAAATCCAACCCCCTCCCCCATATCCTTGCAGGTAAGAACCCCGAGGATGTGGTTCGAAGGTACATGCAGAAGGTGAAGAGCCCACCCGATGAGGTGAGTCCCAGGGGAGGGTAGACGCCTGGATGCAGGGCTGGAGGCCTCAAGAAGGTGGAGAGCCCTCTCCTCTCCCTTCATCCCCTCCCCTCCTCTCAGGAATTGCTCTCCTAGTTCTGTGTGTGACTGTCGCTTTTCCCAGTTTGTGGGTTTGCCGTTTCACTTTCTTTACAATATCTTTTGGTAAACAAGTGCTGAAGTTTAATAGAATCACATGTATCGATCTTTTGATGATGAACAGTTTTCGTATCTTAGTTTCACCCTTGTTTTCTAAGTTTTGCTTTTTTCCTCCAATCTCTAATTGTTTACATTACTTTCAGGTGTACAAAACAACATAATGATTAGACATGTACACCCCTCACAAAGTGATAATCCCAAAAAGTCTGCTACCCACCTGACACTGTACATGGCTATTCCAATACTATTGACTATATTCCCTATGCTGTACTTTACATCCTGTAACTATATATTTTTTTAATTGTAGTTGAGTTTTGCTTTTGATAGTCCTTTAATCCCTCTGGAGGGGGGTGTGAGAGAGCCATATATTCTGAATTTGGTATGTGGGGGTGTCCTCTCCCTGTAACAAATGGGTGCCATCTTTGGAGGCCTGGGGGCCTGGCCCCTGGCCAGGGGCAGTACTGCCCCCAGGGGTGTTCCACCCTCCCCAGTCCTCAGTCTCCCTTTCGTGCCCACCCCCAGGACTGCACCATTTGCATGGAACGGTTGGTCACAGCATCTGGCTACGAGGGCGTGCTTCGTCAGAAGGGTGTGCGGCCTGAGCTCGTCGGCCGCCTGGGCCGCTGCGGCCACATGTACCACCTGCTGTGCCTCGTGGCCATGTACTCCAATGGCAACAAGGTGGGCTAGGTGCAGTGGGTGGGGAGCAAGTAGGGGAGCCAGGCAG